GTGTGTATGTATGTGCGTGTGTGAGTGTGTCTGTGTGTGGTAGTAAGTGGAGAGTGAGGAGTGTGTGTGTGTGTGTGTTTGTTTTTCGGGCTTTATTTCAGTCTGTATTCAGTAACAGTTCAAAGTATACAAAAATAGAAACACAGGATCCATTCACTCCAGAGCTCATGAGTCGTTCGTCTCTTTCAGTTTCACTCATTCATTCAATTCCTGTGACTTTCACACCCCACCCCCTCCCTCCAGGCACACACAAAGAAAATCTCACTCGTTCCCTTGCACCCTGCGAACCATGGACAATAATATAGGCAAAACACTGCCTGAGACTGAGCTGCATTCCTTTCTTTCGTGAGCTGTGGACCAGGCCAGGGGGGGTCGGTGTCGTCGTCTTGTAGCCTAGTTGCTGTCGCCTGTGGATACTCGCACATTCTTCCTTTCACCCGCTCTTTCACTCACACTGTCTCTCCATCCACAGCTCAGCTCGTCATACGTTCAAAAGTTGCCCACTGGTCATGTTTAGTTAGTGTGTGTACATGTGCATGATGGTGGTGGGTGTGTGGTGGGTGTTACTGCCAGTAATACTGGAGGTTGTCTGTAGGCGGGCTTGCCATGCGGTGTTCCTTCCCAGATCAGAGGCAGAGAATGAAAGTTGGCGCCGAACTCTCGCAATAAATAGGCAAAAAATCACGAGACCGGAAGCCGGAAACCGTTCGGAGAAATAAAGATCGGCACTATTTCTCCGAACGTTCGGAGAAATAGTCACTTCGAAACCAAAAGGTGCCTTACTGGCTTGCATGTATTTGAATCTGAATAATTGCTAGATCTAGATCTAATGAGACCTGTGTACTTAACATTAACAGGTTTGCGTCGATAGGGCCAAACCTAGATCTAAGTACAGCTAGCCACTTCGTACAATTAATTGCATTTTATACAGCGCAGGTCCCCTTTCTACATGATGCTCTATATACGCTTAAGAATAGTGATGCAGTCCAGCTGAGCGACTACACGCTATGTGTTATCACTTGTTTCGCTGTGCTGATGTACTAGATTGATGTAATTGTTGAGTTTATATCGTGTTTTGGCCATGTTTGTATTATTTGATCGCTTTTAGGCCTATAAAAGTAGATCTATAATCATTTTTGAATGGCTCTATCTTCAAGAAATTATAAGGTTTTATATAGATATTATAGATCTAGACTCTATATCTATATATGCCTTTTATTATCTGTTGAGCCGTAAATGGTCATTTTTCAGAAGCAGGTATACATCTCGGGTATCACAGCTGAACCCGCCCGCCAAACCCCCATGTTTACAACCGATCGGCTGTGGCGGCGGAGCATTTTTGGCGGGTTACTTCCAGTGAAACGAACGCTTCTAGATCTAGCGTTAAGTTGTAGATCTACCTATTTTTGTTGCTTTAAACCCAAGTCCGAGACCAAGATCAAAAGCAGTGCCTGTCATTCACCACACCTGCCGGCCCTGCCGTGCTACCTGAACAGGTCTGTCTGTAGTCACGTAGTGTGATCTAAACAATGAACAATGCTACCGACAAGTTAAATTCAAGTAAACCATACACTCACGTTTGATCTACCGACCTCCAAAACACGTAACATAACGGATTTCAGCCGTTTTCTCCTTACCTCAATAACGAATAGAGAGAACGACGTAACCCCTAACCAGATCATGTTGCAAACAATGGATTTAAAAGGTATGTATCGGTGTTAGGTGTGCTCTTCTTGAGCTGGGATCAACTGTTGTTGTCTTGTTTGGCAATATTTATAATAAACGTCCTTGACTTTTCCGTAGCCCGTTTGCACTCATTTTCTTCAAAAGAAGAGCGACTCCCAGCCTCCAACAGAAAAGGGAACAGCCAACGAAGAACAACGACCTGATATATTATACTGACATAGATCTCCAAATATTTGTGGAAAGTGGAAAAGGCCGTAAGCAAAATGCATCATGCCGGAAGTGGTGCGGTAGTCACTCTTAAAGTTAAAGCATTAAAATTTTATTTATTTAAGTTTTCACAAAGGGTTTTTTTTGCTTTCATTGAGAGAAAAAAAAGAACGAAAGATAAAAAAGAAAGAAACATGTTAAATAAACTCTTACACTATATCAAAGTGGTTATAAGGCCTACCCTATAAACAAGTCTCGGCTGAAAACAAGCAAAAAAGAACGCTCTTCCTTGATCCTATCATCCACCAAGCACGTGTCGGCGCGCTTTATCTTTAAAATCAATTTGAGAGATTACACTACGCAACAGCTAGCAGCCTGCTGGCGTTCTGCAAAGTTTGATCTTAATAATGTTGTAGTAGAGATGCGAGTGGAATTTCGGGACACAAAAGAAGAGATCGAAAAAGTTTCTTGGTCAAGGAAAAATTAGGCCAAAATTAAATGGTTGATCCAAGGAGATGTGAAATAAAAATTTACAAATAAAAAACTAAAACAACAACAACAACAACAACAACAACAGACAAACAAAATACTAATTGCCTGCGGGCCGAGGTGGCCACATGGGTACAGAAAGGTTTCTCTGAAGTTCCCGGTGACTTCAAAATTTAATTCCATTTTTCTGATAATCTAGGTCCAGCTTTAAAAAAATAGCATTTTCGTAGTCAGCGATTCAAAATTAATCAGCTCTACTTATGGCGCTCAATTTGTAGGCTAGTTGATTTATGAAGTTATGTTTTAGTTTAATAAATTGGTCTTCTCCAACACATACAATAAATTGTTCAGTTTTGTGTTTGCTCGTGTCACGCCATTCTACTTATGGAGATCTAATCGTCCGTTTATTTTTCAACTGGAGAACTTATATTTTTGTGTTCGTTTACTTATAATATCATATAAATATAAATAATATAGATCTAGTGGTACAACATTAACTGCTTTTTAATGTCACACGTGCGTGGATATCAAAGAACCACAATTCACAATATTATTATCTTATAGACCTTGGGTCATACGTAGGTTATCATCAAGACATAGAATCTAATTATTTTTTCTTTAAGATCTGCGGATGAGAAATTCATGAGAGTGCCAACTGTAAAGTGTAACAAATGGGTGAAATAATTTTTTTTTCTTATGGTTTCCACTGTACCAATAATATATTTATTGAAGAAGTTCTCTTAGTAACTTTATGTTGCATGTATGTTTTGACTTAACTTCCAACAAATTTAGAAACGATTGTTAAAGTTTAATTTTATTGAAGCATCACTTTTTCATTCCTCGTGGGTATTGTTAAAGCTATAGAAATATGAATGATGATGATGATGATGATGATGATGATGATGATGATGATGATGATGATGATGATGATGATGATGATGATGATGATGATGATGATGATGTTCACCGCACCCTTCCTTACCTCCATGCATATGTCTCTCTCTCTCTCTCTCTCTCTCTCTCTCTCTCTCTCTCTCTCTCTCTCTCTCTCTCTCTCTCTCTTTTTTTTTCTCTTTCTCTCTCTCTCTCTCTCTCTCTCTCTCTCTCTCTCTCTCTCTCTCTCTCTCTCTCTCTCTCTCTCTCTCTCTCTCTCTCTCTCTCTCTCTCTCTCTCTCTCTCTCTCTCTGATGTTATGAGACGCATTTTTATGGAAGGAAAGTCCAAACGTCAGGAAAATAATATATAACAGGCTCGGTAATAACAGGGATCCGGTAATAACAGGCATTTTGTAAGAGAGAGAGAGAGAGAGAGAGAGAGAGAGAGAGAGAGAGAGAGAGAGAGAGAGAGAGAGAGAGAGAGGGAGGGAGGGAGGGAGAGAGAGAGAGAGAGAGAGAGAGAGAGAGAGAGAGAGAGAGAGAGAGAGAGAGAGAGAGAGAGAGAGAGATGGAGCAAGCCCACGCAAACCCTACCACTGCAAGCACACGCAGTGGGTGAAGCAAGAGAGGGCTGCGGTGTGCTGCAGACTTTGATGTTGCCTTAAGTCTAGCTACACGCACGCGTGATGTGTCATGTGCAAGCCTGAATTAACAGGGATCTGATATAACAGGACTTTTCCTCTGGTCCCACCATCCCTGTTATAATGTATCAGGTTTCCACTGTATTTGTATAGACATCATCATCATCTAGTGCCCGATCTGCGACAGACATCGGCGATCATGGTTCACCATTTATTTCTTTGCTCGGATGCTAAGTTTCCCTGATCCTTCCCCTTTACCCATTTGTTTAGGTCACCTGCTAAGTAGGTTGCTCTGGGCCCTCTTAAGTGGACAAGTTGGCTGTTTTAAACAGGTGGTCAGAATATAATTTAACATAATACATAACTTTTTTAAGAGAGCAGAAGAAAAAAACACACGGTATTATAGAAAAAATTATTAAACTGACCACATTATGAAAAAAGATATACAAGCAGCCATTAGGAACACGAAACTTACAAAGAAGAGCTACAGTGCCAGATAATAAATTGGAGCAGTAGATTCGCTTATTATAATCCACAGAATTCTACTGTGTTATAATCGCAAAAGCAGAAGCGAAAAGATCAGCCAAGTTTAGCATTTTAAATGTCTAGATACAATTCTTTTTCTTTTAAATTCAATTATTACATCCGGTGCCATATATATAGGACTGAGATAAAACGAAAAGTTAAATGGCCAAATCGCAATTTCAACAAAATAAGCCCAGTATCCTGAACAATAGATAATATCAGTAACAACCAAAATATAAGAAGAGTTCTAAATTAAAAAGGCTATCTAGTGTGGTCAATCCTTCTATATTATGCGCTACAGCAGTCGATGCTAGACAATAATGAAGAAAATAAACCAATTGAGGCAAACATTTTAGTATGTGTTTGCTTATGTAGAGAATTTTATGGAAGGAAAAAGTATACATATGAACGGTTAATGGTGAACCCCCCCCCCCCCCCCTCCCCCGCTATTCTCATTCATACAAACAATTGAAGAGAATAAACTGCAGCTTCTTTGATTCTTTAATGACGGCTTTGAGGGTCTTGATCTCATTGGAAAATTAAAAGTCAACGGCAACAGATGTAAAAACATTCTTACTTTTTAGACTTCAGAACTTGAACAGAATGGCGACGGAGCGAAGGACCTACACCTAGGCTTTCTCAGTACTAGGGCATCCAGCCCGCACGTCTGGCCTCGGCACTGGAGGCCTACCACGTTCCCGTAGGGTCAATGCGAAAAGCGGCGATAGACTAGTGCGTTGGTGCGGGTGATAGAGCATTATCGCACTGTATTCACTAGACTGGCATTTTTGTTGTTGCAGCTTTTTTGTGAGAATTTATCGGCTCTTCTTATAACAAAAGAAGATCTCTCCAGTGACAGAGTGTCAAATCGTCAACTTAAAAATGAATTACGTTTGCATTTTACCACAAAAAAAAAAAAAGACCGTGGCACACTAGTAGGATGACTTTTGTTCTTCACTTGCAACATCGTTCTCATTCTACATGTTTCAACAAATATGAAAGAAAATTAATTTGACACACACACACACACACACACACACACACACACACACACACACACACACACACACACACACACACACACACACACACACACACACACACATACACGCATACACAGAGAGAGAGAGAAACACACACACACACACACACACATATATATATATATATATATATATATATATATATATATACTAAGCATGTAACTGAACACAATCCCTTACCTCCGAAAAAAAAAGTTACTTTGCTATTTTTTTCTTCGCCTGTCCTTCATTTGCTTCTGCAAATCTTTTCATAAGATATCTGCCAGCCGCATCAGCTTACGATAACAATCAAGATGGAATATCGCTGGAAAGTCCCACAAAATCGCCATTAATCAGTTTCTGCACAGTTTTTCAGTGGTTTCCATTAAAAAAACAACAACCCTACTCAACAAGTAGTAGTAGTAGTGTAGGCCAACACTGTCTCTCTGGAAAGTTACACACGAAGTGCAAAATTTCATCTAGACTAACTGACTCTAGCATGTGACAACATCTCTCTCTAGTGCGATAGTGAAGCCAGGATGCCTGATGTGCTTCAGTTTGTGAAGCTTCAAATGAAACCTCTTTCACCTGGTCATGGGTATGTTGAACAAAAGTAAAATACATGGAAAATGCAAAAAACAGGGCCATCTCGAGTTCTGCTGAGCAAGACAAATTATAATAATCTTTACTCTTTACAACATTGCCAATGGCTGTCAGCGTCATATCCATTGTTTGGAATCGAACTTGAAGACATCTCTTTCTTTAAATATATCATCAATATCAGCAGCTCTAGAAGAAGCTGAACTTGCTGTAGTTGCTCTCTTTTTTTGGAGCTGGTGTGCCACAATATGATGGTGGTACTTCTGGAAATTTTGTTGGAGACTCTGAGGGCACTATAAATCTTCCAGCCTGTCTCAAAGGTACATCAGGTTAGAAGTGCAGAGAGCAAACCTCCATATTATAATCCGTGACATCTTCTATGATTAATTTATTTGGAACACTTTTGATCCACTGTGCTTTTTTCGCGTTTGGGAACCTATATTATTGTTATTTTGCATCTTCCTTTTGGCTGGCATAACCACTTCTACTATCCCATTCCTTACACTTTCTTCCCATGTTCAAATGTTGCTCACACGGTTCATTGCACTGAAACTGAGACGTCAACTGCAAACTTTTTCACAGTAACAGTAGATTCTAGTAACAATAACAGTCTCCCCCCTGACAAAATTTTAATGAATAGATCTCCCGGTCCGAGATTCTCCTTTGAGAGATAATAAAAACGGGAAAATTATGAATTCCTAAGGTTGAGACATAGGCAAAGTCAGTCCGCTGGTCCGGTATTCTTCAATCTTACCAATACATCCAACCGAAAAAAACGTGTGCATCCAAGAGGACTGAATGAAACAATGAAGAGGCTAGGAGATTAGACAGACTAGACGGCGACACACTACACACATTACTATTATTACACTATCAGCACACAAACGCGTAATGCAAAAATGTTCCATTACCTGAATACGTATTAGTATTAGAGCATCTGCCTATCGCCGCTTTTCGCATTTAATCACCGCTTTTCACATTGATCCTCGATAAGATAAGGACGGGTCTCGAGGCGAGCTTATCAAGATAAGGTTGTCTACCCCGGCCCTCAAGGCCGGAGCCAGTCGTGCGGGCTGGATGGCCTCTAGACTAGACGGTCATATAATTTATGATCGCCTAGCCTCTAGACCTACACTTAATGAGCCTATAAGTTCTGTTAAATAATGTTATTGGTTAAGAGTATCAGAACAGTTTTAGTATTTAAGATTTATGTCTATGCGTCTACGAATTCTAGACAACCACATAAAGACCTTGAAAATAAAACGGAAACGACAGAAATGTTGTTTCTTAGGACATGATCTTTGGAAGGAAAAGAAATCAAATGTGGTCGTAGGGGCCTTTAACTTGAAGAGGCTCACATAAGTTGCTCCTGATAAGAATAATCAGGAAAAGAAAAATGCATTTTATTGGGCAAGGGTAGACTCAGTGTGACCTATTAAACATGTGCAGCTTTTTTGAGAGCACACGAGCAAAGATCAATGCATGGCACTCATGATCGCCAACATCTGTTGCAAATCGAACACTTGATGATGATTCAAGCAGAAAAATGAAGGGCAGACCTTGATCGTCGATGTCAGTTTCAGATCTGGCATTCTTTGAAGATGGACCCTTCTTGCCTACCACAAATGAGTTCCCTAGTAACTTATTGATACCATTTTGGAAACCCCCAGTGCACTCGTATTAGCAATCTATCTAGTGATATATAAATCTATGACACAGCTGTTTATTGACTCTTTTGAGAAAGAAGAAATTAAACTGCAAACAAAACTTCCGGTGGCAGGGAAGTGTTGCAGAGTTGCAGAGTTGTAAGGATGCAGCGTATTCTGAGACCTGTTCTGTGATAACGACCTGAACACATTTTGTTTTTTAAAGTGTAGATCTAGCTTTGATATTGCTATTTCTGTGAAGAGTCGGATAAAGAGTTAAGGTAGATTTAGATAGATCATGCAAGTTATTTCTCTATTGTTACTAAAATCTAGATTTCTACTGTTTGCCACAGGCCACAGACCAGAGGCCAGCAGAGGGTAGGGCTCGATCTTTTGATCTTTTGTAGAGATACGGCGAGCGGACGGACGGATTCGTTATTCGCGGACTCAGTCAGAGCGAGTGGGTAATGGACGGCCATGCGAGCGGACTGTGAACCTCAAGAAAGGTCGTTTTTTGGGTCCTCTCCACAATTTAACTAGATTTCTAGATCTATCTCAGCGAGCAGACCTCAGCGGCAGCCTCAAGCCTCAAGTCTCTTAAATCAAGTCATCGTGTTTTGGGTCCACTCCACTATTTTATACACTGAGCGGGCAGGCGAATGGACGAACTCTAGCAGACGAGATACACGAATCTGCTGAGATACCCGAGATGTAAACCTGCTCCTGAAAAATGACCATTTACGGCTCAACAGATGATAAAAAGCATTTAAAAGCATATTTTATATACAGTCAAACCTGTGTAAGACGGCCACCCATTGTCAAGGAGAAAAGTGGCCGTATTTAAGACAGGTGGCAGCCTTAGGCAGGACTGATCAAGATAAAGGAAACGAACCATTCCCATCTGAGGCCCCAATCGAAAGTAGCCCCATTGTTGTTGTCTTTGTTGGTGTTGTTGCTGTTGGTTTGTATTTCGTTTGTAATTTTTATTTTGTTGCTGATTTTGCACAATGGTGACAGTAAAACGAAATGTATCAGACAAGGAAGACCGAGTGCCATGCTAAAACAAACACATGGGTCGCCACCACTCGGAGAACGAGGGAAGCTTCTGTAACAAGTTCATGTTGACGTCCTTTGTTACTTTGTTACAGACTGGGTAAACAGTAACCACTCATCTCACTTACGATTTGTGTATGAGTTCTGGGCGGGGCTTATATGGGTTATGAGGGATCACACGCTTACCTCACCAGCAGCTGAAAATTGGTAGTTATAATTGGTCAACAGTAGGAGGGGCCTACGCAACATGATCGGTTGGAGGGACTACCTAACAACAAGGACAGGTGATTGAATTATGACGGCTCATAAACAACGCCAGGGGCCAATACACAATTTATGACAAAACGTAATGGAGTCACTAAGGTGACCGTCTTAGACAGGTATTATTGCTTAGTATTATAGGGGTTGTGTGTTAAATTATTGTGGCCGCGGCCGCGTTGGACAGGTGCCCGTTTTACACAGTTAAATTCTATAGATAAAACGTAAGGGGGGAAATTTGAAAGTTGCCTTTTTGTACAGGTGGCCGTCTTTTATAGAGGTGGCCGTCAGGGCAGGTTCGACTGTATATTTATTTATTTATTTTTAAAAATATCTCTATGTCTTTTTCAATATACCCACAATTCACAGTATATCAAATCGGCTACCTTCCCCTTGTATATTTTTCAAGCTGTCTATTCTGGTTTTTCTTTTGCCAGGCCATGAAATGATGAAAAAAGCGATGTTCAACAAGTTCACAAACTTTCTGCAACATGCTGTGGAAACGGTAACCCTCAATTGAATTTGTGTAAAGTTTTGTGTTATTTTTGTGATTGTAACCTTTTAAGGCAGCAGCAACACTGAGACTGACAACTGATGAAAGGAATGACTATATTTACAATATGAATCAATGTGAGACACATCACTCTGTCTAGTGCTGAATTTGTAATCTTATAAAAATTAATCATAAGTTGTGATCCTGGCCACATTGGATTATGGTTTTATGATGTCGTGTGCACTGTTCTTGAAAAACATGTTTCACCAAAAAAAAGTCTCAATTCACTCACCCTACAGGATCCTTTCATGTATAAATGCATTGAAGTTTTGAATGTTACATTCACTTCTTTTTCAGACAATTGAAAGTCACATCACATAAAAAATGGGTTGCTTTAAAATTATAAGCTTTAATATCAGATATGATGAGACATTGGTGCACCTCTTCAGCCACTGGAATGATAATGTATTTCTCTTCCAGCTGCTAAATTTTCTTAAAAATGATCTTGTTGCTTGTTCTAGTGTTATAGTGTTATAGTTAATTTTATTTAATGCGTTTTTATAGAAAGGTCTGTAGGGAAAAAAGAGAAACACCAGCATTTTTCTCCTATCAGATACCATTACCAGGCGTCTTTCTTTTTTTTTTTTAGTTTCAAAGGAAGATAGGTAGAATTTGTTCAAAGTAACTCTTACTTGATGAAACGGAACCCCTCCCAGTAACTCTTGATGAGAACAGACACCACCCCCCCCCCCCCAAAAAAAAAAAAAAAAAATCTAAAATAGATAAACAATAAAATTCTAGTTTCATTTATTCTAGGTACCTTAGTTTTGGATCTCAGCTTGATGCAAAAAGTTTTTCTTTTTCAGTTTGTACCAAATGTTGTTCCTCAAGAGGAATTTGTGTATCACTGGAAATCAGTGACAAGCTACTTTGTGGACAATAAAGGTAAAATGATACTGTTCTTATTTGTCATATGTCTATCCCCCCCCCCCCCCCCCCCCTTTTTCTCATTTCTCTGAATGTCTTAGTTCTTTTGTATAGTTTTTAAGTCTGTGTATGTTTGAAAATGTATGTGGTTACTCATGTGGAGATTGATTTTTTTGGTTTCAATGTGGTATTTAAAAAATCTGCCCCAAATTTATAATCGTTTTATGTTTCTCAAGGGTGCTTGATAAGGTAACACAGTATCTTCTTTTTGCTTGTATGAACTTCTATTTTCTAATTTCTGTCTAGTATTAAATTACTTTTCCTGACCACTTAATTGATCTTTGGTTTCTCTCAAACATAGTTGTATTCATTTATTTACGAAAATATTGTTGATCACTGAACAGGCGAGTATGCATGATGTGTCATCACCAGGGAGTGGGTACTACAAAAGTGATCTCTATTGTATTAGTGTATTATTATTGTTATTGTTATTATTATTATTATTTAATTATTATTATTATCATTAATAATTTTGATTTGTGTGTACCAGATGCTGGTGCCCGTATTGAGGAGACTGCACTTCCTGAACACCTGACCTCCATGCTGAGGATCATCCAGGAGGAAGAGTCTGACCTTGGGGAGGCGGGCACTACGGGGGTGTGCTTAGAGTACCTTCTGCAGCATCGACTGTTGGAGACGCTCTACACTCTAGGACGGACTGATGTAAGCTGCAGTCTGAGAATGCTTTACTTTGAAAATCAACCTGTCTCTCCTACACTCTCTATTTGCCTAAACTATAGTAAGATTCTGGGAACATGGGTTTTTAGTTTAAACTACGCGAGCGCCGTAAAACCTTATACTGTACTTAATACTTACTTAAAAACTGTGTAGTGGAATTGGACCTTGCAAGGGAATATTAGGAAAAACTGGAAACTACTTGTCGATCTGACTTGATGAGTATTTTGAATGAGGATGATGGACAGAACAGGGGAATGGGTCAAAGAGTTGTGGACTGTTCTTATTACTTTTGGTTTCAAAATTCTGATTGGAAAGTAGAGATTTTCTGTATGGATTTTAAAAACTGCATGTTATGAGCATGGCAACTTTTTTCTGACTGGGAATGTGGTGGTCAACTCTGTGTTCCCTGTGGACTTCACCTTGAATAAGGACTTTGTTTTGCTTTGTCCCATAAAGCACCCACCAGGTATGAAGCAGATAGTGCTGTCCTTCTTCACCAAGCTCTTGTCTCGTATCTCCCACCCGCTGCTGCCACACATCAATGTGCACAGAGCTGTACAGGTACGTTTTTGTGTATGTGTGTGTGTGTGTGTGTGTGTGAAGACCTATCAAGTAACTTGATAAACTTACATTTTTCTAAATACAAAAAAAAAAAACTTCGTAAAGGCCCTGATGGATTTTGCATGAAATCATATTTTCCTCCATGCTCAGCACTTCAAATTTAGAGAAATTCAAGTTTTTGAAAGTTCCATACTTGCTGCCTCATATACCACTTCCATCCGCAAAAACTTGCGATTGTGTAGGTCTACTGATATTTTGCAAAGAAGGATCCATACTTTTGCTTCTGTGTCATCTTGGTAATCTCTTCAAACAGGCTCCAAAATGCCATTTTAAACCCTTTACAAGCACACAATGTCAGAACCCACTGTGACCCTGCTTGATCCCAGTCTCCCGGCAGAGAATTTCCTTTACTTCTCTGCCTTGTCGGTTGGACGCACTGAAACTACTGTTTAACCTTATGTGATCGACTCTAGAGTCATGGAAATATTCCCTCACAAAGCCACAAAAATTGCTGAGGGTGTCAAAACATTTTCTGTCCTCCTCTCTTTTCAACTCTTTTTGTGTCCTCCGTATAGAGCCCTCTGCTCTTTCCCATACAAATGAGTGTGTACGGAGTTCCCCAACCTTGTGGTAAAAATCTGCCAGAAATACCTAGAACTTGTGAAACAGCCTTTCATCTGAACACATTTGTTAATGAACATTTCAATTCCTACTCATTCAGGCACTAATTTCCACAATTTTGAACTAGCCTCAATATACAATATATTTGTCCATATATTGGATTACAAGAAGTAACGAAAATGAAAGAAAAACCTGTGCAAAAGTTAATACATTGCTGGGTTGAAACTGTTAGTATATTTGTGATCAAAACTCTATCTGAAGCATTTCTTGCTTGCTGTTTTGAATTAATTATGCACAACTATATTTTGATCGTTAGGCCTTGTCATACAGCTTATTGTGAAGGCTGAAAGGATGCTTAATTTCTTTAATTTTTTTGCCATTTTCTGTTATCTTCAAGATTGAGATCATCACAGGTTCTTTTTTTAAAAACTAGTTTTTATGGCAACTGTCATTCTCTATCTTCTGATGTCAAGAAGACTCCTATTTTCCCCAAACTCTGCTTTTTTAAAAGAGTTTTGAAGGATTCCCTTATAGTTGGCTGTTATTTGAATAACATGTCTTTGTTGTTTAAGGGGCTAAGTCATGGAAGAGCTCACGCTGTGGTGTGGCATATGTGTCTTTATTAGAAATAAAAAGTGTTCTGCAGTAAGCTTTGATACTTTATACTTGTCTTGTAATAACAGGCACAGTAGGGTGCTTATCCATTGCTGCTCCATCACTAGTATTTTTGTCACCTTTCCTTGTAAACATCTGTCAAATGAAAGTTAAGAGTCCCTATTTCATATGTTGGCAGAACGTGTGTATAGTCATTTGCGGTAGGACTATGTCAAGTAGAAAGTTGACTCTTAAATTTGGCAAATGTATGAGGGGTGTTGACATAACATTTTTTTGTGAAGTATGTGTTTTTCTCAGTTTTTATGTTCATTATGACGGTTACACTTCATTTGTTACTATTCTCACTTCCACAGAGGTTGGTCAAAGCATGCGGAGAGACTAAAGCAGCTCCTACAGAGAAAGAAGAAATTGAGTTCCTTTGCACAGTATGTGCAAAAATAAAAATGGATCCTTATCTGGTCAATTTTTTCATTGAAGTAGGTATTTGCTTTCGAGATGTTTCAACTAATAATCCAAGCTAATTTTGTAGTTTCCCTTTGCATTTGCAAACATTGCTAAGAGTCAGTTCTTTGTGGTATACCGTAGCTTAGTTGTTCTCATCTCCTTGGAGTGCATGATTAGTATATATGTATTTTACCTTGAGTTAATATATTCAGAACTGTTCAAATGCATTTGTGCCCATTGTTATGTTAAAGCATTGTTTGAAACGAAAAAAGATTAAGTAAAACAGCCTTCAGCTGAGAATAGGACCTTATTACTTGGTTTGAGGAACCTCTTAAGTCTACCTGGAAAAATGTTTGGATTTGAAAAGTTTTTTTCTTCTTATTTTTTTTCACTTTATTTTAGTGACAGCAAGATAAATTTAGCCCTAAGTTTCTTTTTGAGGTGTTGTTCCCAGAGCTGTGCTCATTATATGTGTGTGCCTAAAGAAAGGTACCAAAAGTCGGATTTTGACCATTTTAAGGATTGTACCTTATAGGAAATTCAATGCTAAACACAGGGGTCTTTGAATTTTTTTGATATCTCAAGTAGTTTTTGAGATATTGCACATTTTTCCAGGTAGGGTATAAAGATATAATTTTGAGAAAGTGAGCTTTTAAGTAAAATAAACATGAGAACACATGCAAGCTTAAAAAAAACAACTATTTTTAAATGTATTTATTCATAGAAAATTCATTTCCAATTTGGCATTCAGTTGACATCAATATCATGAATGGAATTCAATTGTAAACATAGCAGGGAAGAGAAAATGTGCTTCAAGAATAGATTTTAACACCTTTTAAAAGCAGTTTTCATTATTTGCTTTTATAATACCCTACCCTCCAAATGAAGCATAGTAAAATATTCAGAAGTCAAATCAATGAAAACCCTTTGAGCAAATTGTAAAAAAATGATGGATCTATCGTTAATTTATGGAAACACATTTTGGTCAAAAAAGTGATTTTTGTCATTATCAGCCTATAGCTCGAAACGGTCTGGGGCGACTTTTGGTACCTTTCTCTAGGCGCACACAGATATAGTTTACATTAAATTTCCAGGAATGATTAACCCAATAACAATACTTCTTCAACTCCATTTTTTCCTCTTTTGAGTTTGCCTTTACAATTAAATTTCATCTCCACATCTGTGCAGAATTCAAGAAGTTCAGTGGAGAGAGCTGCCACTTCAGCACCTCGTCCACCTGCTGCTTTTAGTTTAGTGGAAGCTCTTCTGGCACTTTCCCAGAGTGAAGTGAGTGTGAAAGATCATGTTCAAATTATGTTCTTTAAAAGTTGTTAAAAGTTTGTTTTGACTTTTGTAACTAGTTAAAAAACTGTTTCATTGCACGATTTTGTCTTCAGAAATAGTTTCCACTAGGAAGATTTCATCTCTTCCCCTGTCTTTTTTTGCAAATGGACTTTCACATATTTGTAGGCTTATGTGTTCCTTTTTTATTTACAAATGAATGTTAAGTTGTAGGTAGTTTATGATTAGTCTCTAGTTTCATCAAATATTCAATGAGATTCATTTCTTATTTTATTCGAACATTTTTTTTGGTCAACAGACATTTTTGTGTGTTGCTACAAGTAAACAGAAAAAGGATTTTAAACAATAGCATGGCATTATTGGTTGCAGTTGTATTCAATGCTGTTTTTTGAGTTAGATTTAATTGATTTTTTAGATGTTTAATTGATATTTTTTAAGGACAAACCGATATGACATCCCATCAAAAAGTTTTTACCAAAAGATTGCTTGATATTCCTTATGACCATGTTTTCCCTCACCATTCAACCACTGAAGCAAAATGGAATATAAACTGTTGAAAGTATTTTACTAGTGTATCATAGCTCAGTCCAGTGTTCTCTTTTGATCTTATTTTACTGTTTGTCTTTTATTTCATAGCCATATATGCCCTGTACTTCAACAGGATGCCAGAGTAAGCTTGAAGGCTTGTGAAGGTTTGATGCTGTGTGCCAGTCTACCAGAACAGTCAGCAGCGACTGCTCTCATCTCACACACACAGTTCTGCAGCTCAGTGTCAGACACTCTATGTCAACTCTACGACAAACTACCGACCTCGGTGTACCCAGAAGATGTGGAAGGTGTTGAGGCCAAGTGGGGGTAAGTCCCATATACCTCTTGCCTTCTTGGATTTTTCATACTTTGTATTCATACTGCTTTATGCAGGAATGAAATTCACCTCTTCTCTTGAAAGAGGAAATTCAGTTATTGTTGAGTTAACCAGGTGTTACACTGAAACTCTCTGAAATCCGAAAAACTGCACTAGGCCCAATTGAGAGTGCCTATAAGTTGATGGGTTTATGATGGTAATTAACATATGTTTATATGCATTCCAATATTGTGATATTCGTGAGTATTGAAGTATATACTTATCCACAAGGTATTGCCTTATACTTATTGCTTGATAGTGTATTATAAGTATTCTTTGTGTGCAGTTTAGTAATAGCAGGGATACACAAGTTACATTATTTCACGGCAGTAATCACATGGTTTCTACCGGAGTTTTACTTCCTGTAAAAAAATTTGTCACTGATTTTTTTCTTGTGTATTTATTTTCATGATGAATCTTTTTTTCTACTGAGGAAGGTTTCTGTATTTCCAGATTTGACAACGTAATCGAGCGCAATGAACAGTCAAGCTTCGCGGGAAAACGTCACGTGATTTTTTTCCTGTCATGGCTGGACTACACTGACCAGCTCATCTCTGTGGCCAATCCAGAGGTGGGGCAGGCCTTGGCTGTGGCAGTACACACTCAGTTCTTCACAGTCAAACTACTACCCCAGCTGACCCAGCTGTAAGTGTTTGCCTCAGAATATTATCTTTCTCAGTAATGTTCATCATTTCTTATGTTGCTACTTATAATAATAATAATAATAATATATAACATTTATAGAGCGCATTTCCAAAAAAAGTAGCTCAATGCGCTTTACATTGGAATACCCATTTTTCAAAAACCTTTCTTACTACTTCCTTTCTTCTCACGCAATATACATTAATGCACACACACACACACACATACACACACACACACACACACACACACACACACACACACACACACACACACAGAGACTATTTTCATCCAGACATAGGAAAAGAACAAATATAATGAAAGCTAACGTTAAAAGCTTATGAAGGATAGGCCTGTAGGAACAGAAAATGTTTAAGATGTCTTTTGAAGCTATCAAGTGTTCTTATTTGTCTTAGTTTCATGGGTAATCTGTTCCACATAAATGGACCAAGATATGAGAAAGATCTCTCTCCATATGATTTGTATGATTTTACAGGTGTCACAAGTAGGGTGTTATCGTTCGATGATCTTAGGTTTCTCCCTGGTTTATATATACTGATAAGTTCTTGCAGATAAAAAGGAGCAGTTTTATTTACACATTTGAAACACATGACGCAGATTTTAAATATTATTCGTTCTTTTACAGGGAGCCAATGCAGTTCTTTTAATAATGGAGTGACATGGTCTCGTTTTTTAGATCTTGTTATCAGTCTAGCGGCATTGTTTTGAATTACTTGTAAACGATTCAAATATTTGTTGTTCAGACCTGCTAGGAGTGAGTTACAATAGTCTAAAAGAAAGTGAAAATAATTTAAGACATTTTGATAGTTCTAAATTAAAAACATTTTTTTCCAGTGCACCAATTGTTCTGTCTGAAAATTTGAATTATAAGAAACTGTTTTGTAAATTTTAAAATTGATCCCTGTTTAAAGTGACTGCGATGATTATTTCAACGACTCCTAGTCGCAGTTATCTTAGTCACAAGCTTGAGAGTCCGTGGAAACTGAAAATTTCCATTTTTTGTGCCTTTAATCATAGTTTTTCAGTAAAATCCACACAGAAATGTGTTCTTTTATGGGCATGACAGGTGTTGAGCCAAAAAACGAAAACATGATAAAAATTCACAAACCTTCCGAAAAATGCCAGTTTCTTCACTTTGATTATTTTGACAAGCGCCTGATTTCACCACGCTACCTCACATATAGCTTTCATTGATTGCAAACAAAATATTTGCTCCTTCCAATTCGATTGTGTCAGTAGCAATTAGTAAAAAAAAATAGGAAAGGTGTATGTTTTTTGTAATTGAATACATTTCTGCAAAAGAAGAATGTCACCATTGTGTGCTGGATCGATAACAACAACAACACCATTGTGTACTTATTGTTTTACAAACTGAATAGACTTCTCTGACCTCTTTCAAGAATACCTGCGTCTATTGGTAGCTTTTTTTTTTCATTTGTGACCAGATCTGAGTCAGGAACCATTGTGGGCACAACTTATGTCACTAAGTTCCTGCGCACCATCTGTTCTCCAGCTTTGCTGAAAGGTATGAATCGATTGTTTTGTTCAGGATTGATCTGTTGTGTCCAGGAGATTGAATGTGTGTGATTGGCGGGTGCTCTGTTGTGGTTTGTTCCTTCTCTCCTATCAAAATTTTACAGTTCTTACCTCTCATCCTTCTTTTTTGTGTTTGTTACTCTTTTGTAACACCGCTAATCTTCGGCACTAATATGACCCTATTTAATCGTGTTGCAAATGCCGTAAAATTCTTACTAAAACTTGAAAAATTTAAGAGATTGAATGATTCCACAGTTTCTTTTTATGTTGTTCATATTTTGTAGGGCGATATACTTCTGTAGAATGACCATTTTGTTTACACTTTTTCTCTTGATTTTGGCTGTTATACGCAAACAAATAACTTAGAGGTGCTGACTAAATGTCATAAATTTTTAAAATACTCCTGGGCTTTATTAGGACATGGATGTGTGGGCATAAACAAAATTAAATTTGTGTATATTAGTTTTGTTTCCTGAAGAGAAAATAAATTTGATTATCGTTTGATCTTAAATGTAAGTCATGTCTCATTTTGGTAAAGATTATCTTTTGCATGACAATATGACTCTTAATTGACATTGTTTGGCATATTTCAGTATACTTTATGTCTTTTCTGTTCCTTTGTCTCTCCGTGTAGAGTTTTGTTTCTTCTTGCTGGGCTCTGACCGCGATTTGGAGCAGAGAGACGGTTCAGGACATGCACTCACCAAGAGGTTGTTGGAAAGGTGTAACCATCTATCAGAGGAGGTATTCAGTACACAGTTTCTCTTTCTGATAGAAAATTTTAATCTGTGCTATTTTCCACCCTATTTTCTAATGATGTTAGACTTGTTTGTTACATTGAAACTGCATAAACTTGCAAATATTGTTAACAGTGAGTTGACCAATGGTTTTAAAAATGTTTCTTTTTAGGGGTGATAGTGGTATGGGCAAAAAGTGAAATAATTATGATGTATGCATTATTGTTTAATTATTTTAAATTGTTTTTTTTTTTTTAATCACAATAATGTCATACAAGTAAACTGTGTGTATTTCCTTCAATTTTATTTTTGGTGTATTTTTGCTGATGGAAGTTAGGAGTATGCAGCTATATTAATAAAGATTGTTATCACCCAAATTTGAAATGCCTCAATACTTGTTCTCTTTTAAGAGATCTATATTGAAGGCCAAATTCTGGAAATCTAACTGTGGGTGAATTTCTGGAGATACATTTGTTTTTACTTTGTGTACATGCTAATATTGTTTTATCTTTTGGTTATGTCTCCCAACTTTGTCTAGATCTGCGAAAACGAGAAGGTTGATAGTTTGTTATCTCCCCTCCCCCCCTCCCCTCCCCTCATCCCCAGTTCTTTTTGTTCTTTTTGGGGGACCTTTTCCCTAAAAGACAGTATTCTTGCCCAGTTGTAAATACTGTGTACTGGTTAGTCTGAAGCCTTGCTAGCGGCCCCTAATGGATATTCTACAGTAAAAAGTTTTGAAGGTGGCTTCATGTATAGCAAAAAGTATTCTTGAGGACACCTGTGATGGGTCTTCTTTTATCCCATTTGTTTTCATTGTTTTTCAATGGGTTTTTTTCCAACCTCGCATAGAAAGTATTGTGGTGAGGGGCTTCTCTTGTACTCAAACATTTTTTTCCCTTCCAGGTGTGCATTGCCACTCTCAAGCTGTTTGACACTCTTCTTCAAAAGGAGGAAGAGCACATTTATCACTGCCTCTTGCTGCGGAACCTTCTGAGCCGGGGTTACCTGAGGAAGAAAACACCTCCACCTGACTCAGGTGTATTGTCACTGGGATCGGGACAACTTTTAAGTGAACCGCAGAACCCCTTGAAAGACGAAGGTAGTAGTATCCCTGACTCAAATACTCTAACATCCCACAATGTCTCAGATTCTGAAGCAAATGGGAATCTGGAGATGAATATGGTCGACAAGCAATCTGAGGTAGCGGAGAGAGAGGGCAGTGCTGTCACACAGCTGACTAATGACATGGCAGATGCTAAGGTGTCGGATGTGACACATTCTCCGAGTGATGACACCAGTGACTCCAAACTACCATCAGAGTCTCAACAGTGCAAGGAGGACAGTGACGGTGTGAACAGCAGTAATACCACTGAGTCGTCAGAGACCTCCTCTGTAACTTCCAGCTCCACCAGCTCCCAGATCACTTCGAGTCCTACGACATCTTCCAGTTCTTCTGATTGTGAGAGCTTTTAAAAAATTTTTTTGTGTAGACCTACAGAGGGTTTTCAGCAACCAAAGAGCTAAAGTTAATTCCACGTGTCTTCTTTTGCTAAAGGCTTCTCATCAGTGAACAGTTTTTCTAGTTTGTTTTCTGTTATCATAGAAGGGACTTGATTATTCTCGTACTTTTGAAAGTTCAACAACCAATATACCAAGGATGCAATGAGCTCATTGCCTTGGTTTTCCTCTTGTTTGGATAAATGTGGTAAAACTGACTGATAAAGAGAACCCTCTGACTTTTCCCTCTTATATAAGCTGCTTTTACTCAACCATCCTTTCTAAAGCATTCTTTTTGTTCTTGTGTTGTTGATAAATCCACTTAATTTTCCTAATTTTTGCACTTGCTCCTTTCTTTGTAATTTCTTATCATTTTAATAGTAGTTTTGCATAACGCTTTTTCTTTTGGTTGTGACCGGATCCTAATGTCTGTGGATTATTACATATCTTTTTATATTTCCAGATCTGCGGTCCCCAGTGTCTGGTCGTTCTGAGGTACACAAAGTGGTCAACTGTTTTCTGAGCCTCCTGCCAGAAGAGGCCAAGTCCTCATACCAGACGGCTGACAGTGGCTATGACATGTATCTCAGAGACGCACACAGACTGGTGAGACAAAATGTTCAATGCTTATAGAATTTTTGTGTCATTTTCTGTTTTATATTGATATATTGGGTGTGTGGTTATGGCTAATCTGACATAATTTTCTGGCATTAAATGTGAATTTTGCATACAAACAATCTAGTCATACTGGGGAATGTACGGGACTCCTGATTTGATTGTGTCTCTTGGTGTATGGCCAAGGATTATTTTTATTTGTAAAGATTTTATGTTCTTGTACAGGATTGCTTTAAAGATAACGTATCAGCTGATAAGACTCATGTGAGTTTTGCCCGAGAATGAGCTGGCTATGGATGTTTTTCTCTCTTCCCTGTTGTCCTTATTTAGACAATTAACATGTATTTCATGTAAGGAAGTGTCTTGATTTCAACATTTTTTTTCCTTCATATTGGAAAAAGTGATGTTTATTCTGGGTATTCAAATGCTTACTGAATAATATTTTTTGGTAATGTTTTGCTATTTTCAGTTTTGCCATGTTGGCTCTTTCTACAAGCATGGGCAAACTGATACTAGTAGTTACAGAATTTAGTGATGAAAAAAAACCCATATCCCTTTCAGTTTGCTATACAAGAGACAGTCTGCAAGCCTTGGAATTGGCCAAAAACTGCTGTCACTCTGTCTGAGTATGCTACCAAACCGTTCTACGAGGGGTCATTCCTACACATGCTTTTAGAGAAGTTGCTACATTTACTTGACCAGGTTTGTATCCAGTCATTTGACTGTGTTTTGTTTTTGCTGTGGGCTTTCTAATACATTTCTGTTTATCACTATGGAACCCATTTCCTCTTCTCGTTTGACTGTCTAGTATTATATTTTCTGAGGTTAACTTTTACTTTTCCATGCACAGGGTGATTACGGGGAAATTAAATGACTTGTCTGTTGAAATGTTAACTCAAGGTAGATTTAAATTTAATGCTTTGCCTGGTCTCAAGTAAAATGAATATCCTTGTATTAAGTTTGGGAAAGAATGATGATTTTGTTTAACATTGTTTCGTGTTATCCTGTGAAACCACTTCCCTTGATTTGTACTCACTGAACCTCGGCTGTTAACTCTTTGAGCCTGGATTCCCGCTAGAACGGGATTCGCGAACATGTGTCAAAAATCCCGATTCCCTCTCAAGCGGGATTCACAAGTGGCCTCAGCTCTAGGCTCATCATGCGCTAAAAATAGACAGCCAATAGCTATAAATCTTAAATTTGCTCTGTGACTATTCAAATATATTGTCTGTGCTTCTACATGTGTAGTTTGTGGAAGATTTTCTTGGAAAAAATTGGATTTACTTCACGGTAAAAATGAGGCGAGCGAATGTGAATGAGCCCAGTACTTCCAGTGGTAAAAGGGCTAGAACTGAGTTGTTTAGTACCCGACAGGTAATTTATTTTTTCGCTGGAGATTCAGAATCGGATGAAGAAGACCTAGAAAGAGATTACGAAACAGAAAGTGAAAGCAGTATTGATCACGAAGCAGGCCAAGGTGAGGATAGATCTAGATTTAGTGAAAATGGTGACAACTATGATAGGTATGTTGGGGGGCGTGGACCCCAGGAACAGAGATACGCTTTAGTGGGGCAGCTCAGGGCTCAAAGGGTTAACAGTCTGATCTCCCCTCTCATTTCGGGAGAATTTTATAAACTCATTAATTAATAAACCAATAAAAATGCAGATTTGAAAATTGGTACCTTATTGTATCATTTCGAAATCTTTGAATGAGCCTTACGTACTGTATCTGTGTTTCTAGAAAGTTTGTATGGTTTCTGTGTTCTGGAAAAGATCAGAAGATTGATTCTGGAAGACTGAGGTTAGAGGTCACGGATACCATTGCTGAAACCTGTAAACCACCTCTGTATTTTCTGGCAATAGGCTTCTTTCTGCAGTTTTGTCATCTGTGCATAATAGTTGTATGTTGATTCTATAGTTGCTCTAAGACAAATTTGGCAAGTCTAGGTACAAAAAGGATTGGGGTCAGGGTTTGACGCAGAGATTGACATAGCTTGTGGTCAGAGTTCTGTCAGTCAAGGTTTGATCTGCTTCCAACCAATTTGAACAAGAAAATAAATGGAGCTAGTCAGTTTTTACCCTGTTGTACATTGATTTTTTTTTGGGGGGGGGGGGGGGGGGTTACAATGTCAAGCTCAAGGTTTCATCATCTACGATTTTTTATATATGTGTAAGCGGATTTGGATAAAATGAATGTGTAAATTTGCTTTTGTCCTCAAGCAAAAGAGATGGCCTTGAACACCTTCAAATCCCACTGTTTGATTGAAATTATGGATGTTTAATTAAAATGTTGGCTATTTTCCTCTATGCGGTATATTATTTTTCTTGGAGAAGTCTCCTATTGATAAGCATGTTATTTTGTTCTGGAAGAGAATTTGCATATGTTTTTGTCGTATTTCAGAGCTGTTTAGTGGAATGACAGATATTTTTGGTGTATTTCAGAGCTATTTAGTGGAATTACATATTTTTGGGTGTATTTCAGAGCTACTCTGTGAACCTGCTTCTCACTGCTCTCATCTCAAAAGTGGTCATGATCCCACATCCAAACCTACATGAGTTTCTACTGGACCCATATCTGCCCATGTTGGAGGGAACTCGCACCCTGCACTCTGTGCTCCTTAAAGTAATTCTTTCATTCAAATTGTGGATTTTTTACTTAGGTGGTGTTCACTGACTACCATTGCCTTATGCGTTGTAGATAAAATTTTACTTAAGCACTAGTGAAGACCAAACTGCCACTTTAGTCCGTTTCTTAAAATTATTAATAGCTTTCTATGATTTCTCTAACTTCAGACTTTTCTATTTATTACTTTTGTCTTCCCACTGTTTCCTCAGTCTTTCTCAGCTGCAAGACTTCTATGATTTTATCTTGAAAATGGTCTGGAAACGTGTCCTTATCACCTCAGTTGTTGATGACTGGAGGTCTAATTTTTCGTGGCATCTTTCCACTAATATTCATCATTTTGAAGAAGACTTGTTGCAGGGATAATTAGTGGGTGCTTCACTATCTTCTGCTCCTTCTGCTTCTTTTCAGATTTTCTGTTGTCTTTAACTGCTACTAGCTGAATAATGCTGTTCGCATGATGCTTAGCAGATACTTACTACTCAACCAACAACCACTTGCAGTAGGTAGTCATACACATTGTCAAAAGCATACTCTTGATCTGATAAAACACATTTAAAAATTTGAAATGACTCTAGCCAATTGAAAATAAATGTTTAGAGTAATTGCTTGTATTAAAGTATGCACTACTTACTGTTACTTCCACTTGGCATGACAGATTACAGGAGAAGTGCGACATCACCAGCAGGCAGATGCTGCGTTTTCCCAGAAACTAGTTCTGGCGAGGAAGCAGCTGTTGGGTTTGGTGCCAACAATCCACAGGTAAATAAGCTATTACAGTCTTAATTACTATTGGCCTTGTAGATGGCATTTTTTACAAGTTTTTTTGTTTTGGCTCAATCAGGCAAAAATTTTTCTCCGGCACCACTCGGCATTTTGGTGCTTTTTAGGAAGTGCTTCAGCGCATCAGAGCTGATAAACTTGTGGTTGGGGTCATGGTAGCCTTGTAAGTGGGTCAGATTATGGGCAGTGGGAGGAAAATTGCGGAAATTTGTTTGAAATCAGAAGTGAAAATTGCTTAAAAAATTACGTCATAACAAAACGTTAGTTTTCTTAAAAGTGTAATTTCTACAAAATAATATCTAAAAAGTGTGTAAAAGGGAAATTAGGGGGATAGGGTGCGGTGGAGGGGAATGAAATAAGATTAAGGTGGCGTTCTGATATGAGGTTCTGAACCTCCCTCATTTCAGGCCTCCAACCAATGACACGGAAGAATTCCGTTATCTCATGTTTTGTACAGAAATATGAAGGTACCCATAATAAAGTAGCAGTGACATAAGGGGCATTTTGGACTGGTTTTTTTTCACTTTCTTCTCATTGGTCTTCCTAAGTATTTTGTCTTTTTTTTTCTCCAAGGAATTATATGGCAAAGTTCCCATGGTGGAATATTCTAAAAATATTTTATGCACTTGAATATTTTGTTTCATTTATTGGGTTGGACCACTTTCTGGCTGTCAATGCTGATTAAAACCATGTAGCCTTAGATCTTTTAGCAGTATATTCAGACATAATTGTCACGACGCTGTGGAATTAGGTGCTTGTCAATTTTTGGGCACTTGGAGTTATTGGTATCATCTGAAAGCTTGTCTATTTGTCTTGCTTTCGTTATAAGATACCTATTTATCTTGAATAGAAGTCGAGATATTTGCGATTGAAGGAGGTGGAGGCACCTGGTTTTGGAGATCAAATTAGTGAGAAAATGGCTGCCAAAGTTTTGTAACTTATACTCAGCTTGAGAGTCCTTGGAAACAAAAAATGAATACTTATGTGCCTTTAATCAACGCTGTTCAGTAAAATCCACACAGAAATGTGTCTTTAAATTGACATCAAAGGTGTTGACTAGAAAAGAAAAAGACGTTGCCAAACCGGTGGAAACATGCCATTTTCTTCGATTTCCCTATTTTGACGAGCGACTGATTTCACCCCGTTGCCTTATATTAGTTATATGTATCTCTTATTGCACTCAGAGACTAAGGCCGGTCCCAGAGTGGCTCTGTAGGTCTGACCTGTAGCTGGCCTAGTACACGCCGTCTGCTTGTCAGCACAGCGGTACTGTGAGTTGGCGCCTGTGTCTCAGCGAGTGCGAGGCACACTCGCTGCGTCTCAGCACAGCCGCATTGTGTGTTGACGTGTGTAGGTATGCAACTGACGGGTCTGCCCTGCTATATTTAGGTACTGTGTAATCCAAGACCAATTATACCAAGACGGGACAACTTTTCTTTACGTCATGTGCCAAGTGCAGCCCCCCCCCCCCACACACACAAACACACTTGCAGCTGCGCGCGGCGATAGTTTACATTGGTAATGCAAGGCTAGATCTAGAATCTAGAGAAGCACACCTAGTTCTAGGCCGACGCCTTGGCCTACGACAACAGTCAAAACTAGGTCAACCTCTCGAGTCGAAGTTTCAAAGTATGATAAAGTGCATTTCTGGGTGATTTTGTGGCCAAGTGTTGATGCTAGCATCAATATTTAATAGTAAAGCACCTACTAATACTTACTTCTTGTTGATTTTGATAATCTAGGAAGAGTTTCAGTCGAAAATAAACATAAAGCGAGGCGACACATGTCCGCCATTTTTACAACACTGTTGAATAACACGTCTGACGCATCGCGCTGCTCAGCTGACAAAAAACAGACGACACAGCGACGCTGCTTAAGCACACGATAATGTATACATTCATTTGCACGGTGCGAGCCAGGCGAGCTACAGGTCAGACCTACAGAGCCACTCTGGGACCGGCCTAAGTCTCACACTTTTGCTTCCCACACACATGATACTGAATTCAGTAAATGAGAAAAGAAAGGGTTTTATGGTTAAAGATTGAGGATTCTTGTACTCCCTGACAATGACACTAATGCATCATGTGACAGGGATTAAAATGGAAGATCGGCAAGAGTGTGAAAATATTTGATAAAGTCTTTGAGTTAACCTTTCATGTACGAGTGACATGGCACAAGTCTTCTGTAAAACAATCCAAGTAACATTGACTTATTTAATCCTACCTAGACTAAGGGCAAAAAGTGCAGTGAATCAACTTCCGTGGTAAGTTGTAAAGCAGATGTTTAAAATCCCAGCTTCCCTTTTTTGTTAATTTTTTTTCAATCCACTTTTTTTGTTGTGTTTTTTAATCACCTTCTGCAGCACCAGGGTGATTTGGCTTCTTTTTGTTTTCCCTTCAAAGTTTTTAGCTCAGTTGAGAACTTTATTGATCACATAATGGTTTAGCTGTCTCCAGCTGGTGTCAGTACCAGCAGGAATTTTCAGATACTCATTACATCACTATTTTTTTCTATTGTTCTTTTTAGTAATGAATATTTAATCTGGTCTCTATTTCAAAGTGATGGAGGAGGGTAAGTTTGTCATGCATGATAAGATTGATTAAAGTGAAGGAATGCTGAACATGCATCTTGTCATTGTTAAGAAGAGTGATTTTAGTTTGCATGGTCTTCCTAAGTGTTAAGAGATGTGTAAAAAAAATCATCCTGTTTTTAAAAAAAATCTTTGTAGCAGTTAAGCTGTTAAAAACGTATATATTAACATTTTCTCAGGATTTGTTGCTTAATCTGTTAAATTGTGAAGAATGTATAGACGCTACTAAGCTTTTTCTTTTGACATTAATTATGACACCCTCAATTTCTCCCTAGACTCACTGCTTTATGCAACCTTGCCCTGCCTGCCCTGTTTAGTGTGTGTACTTACGCACTTGTTCTTTGTGTCCCAGTCTCTTGTTCTTGATTTGACATGTCGCATGATAGTGAATTTGCATCTCTCCTTGAAAGACTAGCTTGGATTTTTAGTTAAGCATGTTTGTTACTGGATCTGTTTTTTGTCTGTTTTTTTTCTGTTTTTAAAATGACATTTAGTTACTTATGATTGAGTTTATTTCTTTAACGGAATGGCTTTACCCCTTATTTCCTCTTACGTTTGTGTAAAAGGTAAACTCATAACCATGAATCCTGGAAACTACCAGTGATTTTAGCAAAGTGAAGAAGCTCAGCTTGGTTCTTTGGCAGATAAAAACAACATTAACTCTTATTTGATTGTTATGCAGGTTATTCTATTCCAGGTAAATGTGCTGTTTTGTTTTGTTTTTCCTTTACATTCTTTTTTTTTCATTAGATCTCAAGAAGTTACACCCTTACTCAAAAGACAGAGAAGCCTTCATAGACAGAAAGCCAGGTAAACTGGATACTGGGTATTTAGACTAGAGAGATATATACCACAAAATACAAAATCAGTAACTTATCTTTGACAGGTTGGAATTTACAGAGAGGACTCCACCATTTTCATCTATTATTGCTCTCAACATGTTTGCTATTGGTGTGCATCGTGGATGCTTGTTCATGTTTGGCATGTTGATTGTCAATTGTTATGGACAACTCTGGTTTATAGTGATTGTTCTGCTCTGCTGCACTGTTTCAGTGTGCCTACAAGAAGTTCAAAAAACTTCTCAGCCTCTAGGTTTGTGGTTAACGAATGGATGCACTGAACACCAGCATGAACGTGCAACTTCTCTTGCGGTTGTGTAATGCACAAGCATCTTTTCTCAGAAAAATATGTCTTGTACTGTCGAACCTGTGTAAGACAGCCACCCTTTGTCGAGGGGAAAGTGGTCGTATAAGACAGGTGGCCGTCTTAGGCAGGACTGATCAAAAAGAAGAAAACAAACCGTTCGCTTCTGAGGTCCCAACCGGAGGTGGTTGCAGGCTTAGGAGTACCATACGTCTAATTAAAATGGGTTTTTGTTTTCTTTTGAAAAACGGGAAAGGGGGGGGGGGGGGGGGGGGAAGAGGGTTGTTTTTTATGTTGTTGTTGTTGTTTTTTGCTTTGCTTTTTTTGTTGTTGTTGCTGATTTTGAGCAAGGGTAAACCAAATGAAATGTGTCAGATAGGAGGGAAGACTGAGTGCCATGGTGAAACAAACACTTGTCATGGGTCACCACCAGTTGAAGAACGAACGACGCTTCTGTCATAAGTTCTTGTTGACGTCTAGTGACCACTAATCTCACTTGTGATTTGTGTGTGAGTTGTGGGCAGGGCTTATTTGTTATGATGGATACCACACTTTCCTCATGATAGGAAGCTGAAAATTTATTGTTACCGATTGGTCAATTTGGGTAAATAGTAAATCTACGCAACATGATCACTCATAGGAGGGACTAACAGTAAAGACAGGTGAATGGATTATGACGGCTTGTCCACAGCTTCAGGGGCTGATACATAATTAATGACAAAGCGTTGGATGATGAGAGATTTGCGTGGTCATCCTACTGAGGTAATTTTGTTTGCTGGTTGATAAGATATGGTGGCCGCGTTGGACAGGTGACCATTTTACACAGTAAAATTGTAGTTTAAAAAATCCAATAGGAATAATGAAAAGTAGCCATTTGTACAGGTGGCTGTGTTTTAGAGTGGGCTATCATGGCAGGTTCGACTATTTTTTTTTTGCGTATCATATCTGTTCTTTTTCGTTCTTCTCTTTTTTTTTCTTTGTTCTTCTCTCCCAGCCTATTACTGTACCCTTGAAATGACCTTTTTGCATCCAGTTAGACTTTTAGCCTAATCAAAAAAAGGCACGCACCACCAGACTTTTTAGATGTTGCATTTTGTCAGGACCGTGTTGTAAATCTTTGAAGACTTGGGTGTGTGTCGTGACTTGGTAGTAGTAGTAGTAGTATAAGGTTTTACGGCGCTCGCAACTGCTAAGGTCATATGAGCGCGCGAAACACAAGTTGTTCACCTCTGCGAAAGTTCACTTCACGACTGGTAACTAATTTACTTTAAAATGCTAAAAAGTTAAATTATTCAAATTCGGTGTAAATACATTTGTGATCTAAACAACTTTTAAGTAACATTAAACATTTTAAATAATATCAGATTCACTTTACAACTCGCCATAAAGGCCGTGACTTGGTGGAGTTGGGCCCGCGTCGGTTTTTGGGCTTATGGACTTATCTTATTGGTATCATTTTAAAGTATGTTTGTCTTGCTTTAGATTTTTAAAAATACCCATCAATAATAATGATAATAGTAATAATACTAATACTAACAGTAATAATTATAAATAGCATTTATGCTGCACGTTTCCTTTTTGTTAAAAAAAATGTACAATGCGCATTACAGTCATAAAGATATCACGTTTTAAATACTAAATATTCATGATGAATAGAAGCCAAGATACTTGCGATTGAAGGAGGCAGGGGTTAACTGGTATAATAAGAGGTAAAAATAGTGAGAAAATGGCTGCTAACATTCGGTGACTTCCAAAGCTTGAATGTCGTTGGAAACTGCAAATTTTCGTTTTTTGTGCCTTTGAACAATTTTCTGTAAAATGCGCTCAGAAATATGTTTTTAAATGGATGTAGCTGATTTTGAATCAGAAAGAAAGAATCTATAAAAATTGACCAGGGGGCGGAAATGTTACCTTTTCTTCTATTTAATAATTTTGACGAGTGCCTGTTTTCACCACGATGCCTCTCATATAGCTATTGATGTACATGGACTTCCACGATTGCGCAAATATGCTTTGATTTCTTTGATTAAAAATGGAGTCCATCATCACACATATTTCATTGTGGATGTTGCAGAGAATGGAGGAGCGGGTATGATCATGTTGTTCCTGCTATGACTTTGTCTCTCTACCAAACCAAACTGGATGGGATCACTTTCTTGTGATATTAAATTCTGTATGGCTATTGACTTTAATGGCTTTTTTTCTTTGAGAACGTGTCAGACTTTCTCCTTCTTTCTTCTCCCAGTAATTTCTGCTTTGCAACAGATTTGTAATGTTGGTGATGAATGGAAGATATCATTGCTTTTGTTGGTCATAACAGTTTGGGTGGGATTCTACATGAAGGTTGGACATTAGTATTGTCCTCTTAATTGTGTTTGCTGCACAAAGGGATTTTCAGTTTGTTTCTTCATTTGGGGGAAGGGAGATGTTTACCTCAAGTTTGATATATTTTTGGAAATTCTAATGCGTCTCTTGTGTGCAATGGAAGGAAAGGATAAACCAATGAATGAATTATTTTGTTAATGTGGTCATTAAAAATAATTATTTGAAAAGCTGTAGATGTATCATTATCTTCTTGCGTGTTGGTTTCAATTATGAAGAAGCTTTTTGCACGGTGTAGAGACAATTGTTTTATTTTTGCTTATTTTTGTCAAATTAAAGAAAGAAAGAAAAAAGTACAGGCATCATGCAGAATGTTTTAATTGAAAAGTCTTTTTAGGGTAAATGTGATGACATGTGTAAATTGTTTGCTGACTGACCACTGACTTGTAAGTTCCTCATTTCTGAGACATTTAGCTTCTTTTTGCCCCAGGAACCTGAATTTATAATTTGTTGTGGTCAAGCGGAAATCAATCTTTCATCTTTATCCCTCTTTGCTGCTCTTTTGTCCCCATCCTCGCGCCCCTTTTCCGCCCTGTAGCCATGGTGCGAAACGGGCTATGGCACCATTTTGACATGCTTTGTTTTTTTTTGTGTGGTTGTAATCACAGTGGAACCCTGTTGTAGTGACAAATGTCTAGTTTTGACAGCTGGCTATTTCATATTTACTTTATAAGGGGGCAAAATTAAAGTTTGCTATTAAAAGCTTATATATGGAACCCCCAGGAATATAACATTTTTTATGCCATTGATAGTTTTCGCTCTGACATGTAGCATAAGTTACTGCTGCATTGGAGTGGTCTTTTCTCAAACCGAGGCAGACACTCATAAACATACTGTACGTTTCAATGCTGAGTGAGGAGGTAAGTCTTTTTATGTGTCTCGTCGCTGTTTGACTGCATTATTTTTACTCATGCTCTTAAAACAGCTGACAAGAAAAAGTTGTTTGCTAAATATTTAATGTTTGTATGGTTTGCCATATTTGAAAGTTTTTGTTTTAAAACTTTTCCATTTCTTAGCATATCAGTATTATTTATGGTCTCAGAAAAGGTGCTGAAGGAAACTAAATTCCTTTATCTATTCAGTAGCTTGCATACTTGGCAGTCATGTGTGAACTTTTGTCTTTGTAATTTCAACATTTGTGTCCATTCAAGTGCTGGCCAAAAATTTATGTATTGGATGGTCAACTGTAGGATGTGGAAGGTCAAAAGCTGATATTTGTTTTCAACACTGGCCGAAGAACTTTTGAATAATTATAATTAATGCGAATAAACAAATTTATGGTTATGGCAGGTATGTCATGACACATTAGTCTTGTGGACATCATTAGAAACAGGAAAATAACCCTTTTAAAACTTGTGAATTAATGGGTGGATAATTATAATTACAACCCAGTTTGACTGTTATCCCGTAATTATTAAAAATTGTTTGTCTAAACAAGATAAGGAGTTTGTACCTTTTATCTCGTCTACTATTGTTAAAATGTATTGACTCTTCTAGTTAATCTAGCTTTTTTTTTTTTTTTATACATGACGGGTGGCTTTGCAATCAAAGTCTCCTTATTGTACTTTGCTTTTTAAAAAAAAATGATTTCAGAAAAGTATTGTCTAAATGTTACAGTACTGTCTAAGTGTTGAATACTTGTTTTTTTGTAATACACCATGTACCATTCATGCATGAACTTTGACTGTAACCATGTGTTCTTTGTGCCCCTAGGTTTGAGGACCAGGCCAGGATGGAAGCAGTCATTGTCTTGGAGGAGTTCTGCAAGGAACTTTCTGCAATTGCCTTTGTCAAGCACCATGCTGCAGTCACTCGCTTTTGAGGTGGCAAGCCTCATCACATAGGCATATGTGTCGGTACCAATCAAAATCAGACATGCGTCGGAAATTTTTTAAACTGAGTTAATCTTGTTGTCAAAAACAATCACCTTTTCCTTTTAAGTTAAATAAAATATTAAGTCAATCAGACAATATGTGACGAAAATATGAAAACTTAAATACCGCAAGGTACGGAAACATTAATTAAATGAGAAAATAGGCTCCAAAGTTGAGCAATATGTTGCTTAAACCACAAGCATCTCAGAAATAAATAATGATGAAATTCATTGAGTAAAGTAATTTATTTTTTGTTTGAAATGACACCAAAAACAAAAGAACATTTTTAACAGATAAGAAAACCCCCAAAATTGACTGAAGGTTGAGTTTTTTTTTGTTTTTTTTTTCCCTTTGGACCTTGTAGCTTTGATAACCCAGTGCAACTTATGCCTAATTATGATTGGTGCTGACACATATGTTCCTTCGGGAGCTGAGGTGGCAAAATGTCGTGAAATGGCCTTGAATAGGATTTGTTTTTGATGCTGTGTGACCACAACATGGGAAATGATGCCAAGTGTACCTGCTACTTTCTTTTGAGGTATTGGGTATAAGGTGCATAAAATATTGTCTCAGAAATTTGACTCTTTATTATCCTCCACTCCAACATTAGAACAGATTTTAAAAACCAGTTCAGACAATTTGTGCTGAACCTTCTGAAAAAATTTACTTGATTTCTGGAATGAAACAGAGATCCTTTGTATATCAAATATTGCAATATCACACACAGTCTGTTTTTAGGAGTAGCATCTGAACAGAGAATTCCATGAATAGATAAGTTTGGTGTTGAAAATACTGGTGAGTTGACTATGTTGGTAAAAGCAAATTCTGGAATTGTGCATAATATTGTCAAATCATTGAGCACTTGTTCATGACATTTTGCTTTGATTCAGTAAGAATTTGACCTTCATGAATTTCTAAAAACATTTGTGTGTTCCTGAATATGGTCCTGACAGTGATAAATCATAATTTTTGACCCTGTTGATGGTTACAAATATTTGTTTGTTTTATTTGTTTTATTTGCTGATGTCTCGATGCCATAAGGTAATAAAATCCAAAGAAATTTGTTTTGTGATTACAAACAAATTGTCCCTTAAAAGGGCCTCACATGTAGCAGTAACAGTTTGTCTTCAGAGTTACTGTGGTCCTTTAAAGACAGAGGGTGCATCTCTGTTCGAAAATATAAGGACATGGATGAAAATAGTATGCTAATTGTATTTGTGAGTCCAATTTCTTATTATGTAACTAAGGAGGTGCTTGAGCGTTCACTGGCTGGCCATTGCTTCTGCCAGGAGAATTAACATCTGATATTTTTATAGCACATTCCCTCATAACTTTGTCTTTTGTGTTAGAAGAATATGAAGGCTGTCACCAAAGCTTTACATTTTTTTGTCTCAATACAATATTGTCACCAGCTCTTCCTACTGCACATTACTCTGCTTGTGTATGATATGCTGTTGGTTCATTAGTTGTCATACTGGACTACAACCTTGCTTCAGATGCCCTACATGTTATAGTTTTCCCAAGATCTCCAGCTGCTTGACTTTAAGTCACGCAGAACCACTTTTCTTGCCTCTATGCTCTTAATGATATTGTCAGGATGCCTTCAGATGGTGTAGCTTACATTATGGCTGAAATTTGTCAAAAATTGATGTTTTAAGATGGTGTAGGTTGCATAAAATATTCCCTAAAATTTTCAAGTCTCGAAGATTATTTACATATGTGAAGCATCATGGTGAAATGGTGAAATCAGGTGCTCGTCAAAATAATAAAATCGAAGAAACTGGCATTTTTCCACCCATTGGGCAATTTTTATTTAATTTTTTTTTTTTGGCTGAGCACCTTTAATGTCCATTTAAAAACACATCTCTATTTGGATTTTTATGAAAACATTGACCCAAGACACAGTAAATGTAAATTTTTCAGTTTCCAAAGACTCTCAAACTATGGAAATCACCAAACTTTGGGGTCCGTTTTCTTACTAATTTTACCTTAAAACCAGGTGACTCCCTCCTCCTTCAATTGCAAATAATCTGACTTCTTTTTCATGATAGATGGATTTTAAAAAAAAATTGTTTGCATCAAAAACCAAACGACAGATTTTAATTTAATGCCCATAGCTCCACATGCCCCTAAACTGACGAACGCCTGATTCAACCCCATTGTGACTCATATTTCTGCCCAGGACAGCTGCGATATATTCTGTACTTTGACTTCAAGATTCAACGAGTAAACTTTGCTCAGCATATCACTTGTAAGTGTCATCACAGCCACATGCTCTTCATATCGCCTCGGTCATATCTAACGCAAAGAGCAGTGCAATATTATTACACCAATAATGTGTTCAGTTGTTAGTATTATACTTGCTTGTTTAAGATTTGATGTTGGACCGTATTTATTTAGAGAAGTACCATCTCTGTGCTGAGAGTAAACTAGGCTCATAAATATGTGTTCCGGCATTTTAGGAGTGTTACAGTTTTGTCATAGCTATTTGCTAAGCCGATGTTGGTGAGCAAGTTTTGCTGAAGTCCATTATTCCTTTTGACGTGCATATTGTCTTGTTTTGATATATTCTAGATGGAGTTCTCGATTCTCGATTCTTCTTCTTCTTCCTCGTTCTCGAACTAGATGGAGTGAAGAGTTCTGTGGGATAAAGCAATATGTATACCATAGTTTTTATTTATTTATGTCCACCAAACCACTTTCGCTGTTCGTTTATGAAACTTGCAAGCAATCAAGTCATAAATAATGTGTTTTCCTGTCCTGTCTTTCTGATTGTAATTATTTGTTATTTGAGTATGTTTCTATTTTTAATCATTGACGATTTCGGTAAAAAAAGTTTTGGGGGTGGTTGGCGGGTGCTTTGGTGTGGTTTGCTCCTACTTTCCTATCAAACATCTGTCGTCCTTTTCTCCCCTCCTTCTATTTTGTGTTTGTTACTCTCTTGTGACACCTCTAATCTTTGGCACTTATATGATCTTATTGTGTTGCAAGTGCTGTAAAACTCTTGCTAAAACTGAAAAAACAATTTTTTAAAGGATTTGTTACCAGGTCAATCAAAGATGTCCTTGGGCGTAGATGGGTGGTTGGAAGGTGCTCTTGTGTGGTTTGCTCCTTCTTTCCTCTCAAACACCTGTTGTCCTTATCTTTTCTCCTTTTTTTATTTTATATGTTACTCTTTAGTAACACGTGTAATCTTTGACACTTATAGAACTTATTTATGCTGCAAGTGCTGCAAAACTTTCACTAAAACTAAAAACTAGGAGATATATGTTCATGAAAGTCTCTTTTTTTGTCTCACTACACAGCCCTGATTTTTCAAGGTTTAAGTAAATGATTAGAAATTATCATTTTTTCAAGGCACTAGACAAATTAGTTTTTAATTATACATGATTTTTTTTAGCTGTGGGAATGAAAACTGCAGTTTCTGAGCTTGAAGGTTTATCTGTGAGATTTTTGTTCAGAGTCCGTAGGAGTTGATTTGTTTTTTGGTGGAGAATCAACTTTGTTCTGATTGTTCCCCACGGCCACCCCGGTCACCCCTCCATTCTGCCATGGTTTATTTCATCTGAGTTCACTGGCATTTTCAAGATATTGTCTGTGTTAAGCATGAAAATCTCTGGGTAGTGAGTACACACACAGCTCTCTAAGTAAAAACTCGTCTCATTAGGTTGCATCAAAAGAGTGTGTTTTTATACCTGTGATAATGCATTTGTTAATAGCTTTGAGAACTCCCGCTTTATTTTGTTTATTCTGTGGAAGGCAAAATAATGCTTGCATGTTTCAATTTGATTTTCTTATTTTTTCCGTCGTGTGCCAAACATCAGTCAATGATGTGTGCAATACTCTGATGAAATGATCTTCTAGTCCGTCTTGCACTTTCGATGTTGATCATTAAATGTCTGCTAAATAATACTATACATTATATGTAACTTTGAATTTTAGAATGACATTGTAAGATTTTTTTTTTGTCGAAGCAATTATTTAATGAATTGTATGTCAAAAATGCGTGTAAGTGGGTCTTGGAATTTTAATTATCTGCCCTGTATCCTGATATTCATTTAGTAATGTCTGTACTACTACATGTGCTCATTTGATATGAGTTGGATCGCTTGGTCATCATAGAAAAATCATAGTCTCCTTTCGTCTTTTGTTTTCCCCTCTCATCTATGCCTTCCATTGTCTTCCATTCACCTATGTTGTCTTCCATTTTCTTATTGTCTTCCATTTTTCTACCTTTGTTCTGTTACAGAACATGACTATAACTATGATATGTTTTTGTTCGATTTGATGAGACACTGTACATGTAATGTGAGATTACAGTTGGTGAATGTGGCAATGTTTTATAATATATGATTCACTGATATTATTATGTATTTGTGTTGGGCATTTAAAAATGACTTATTTATAGTATAATCTGGATGCATTATATATTTGATCGTCTGTGATTTGAAATCCACTTTTCTGTCACATGTTTTTTTTTTCTTGGTCTTTTCTGGAAAATTTATCTGATTTTATTGTGTCATCTGATCTGACTGGATAACAGTCCTATTTGTTCTCTTTGCTTTCTTGTTGCCTGCATTGCCATACTGCCTCATTCATTGTAGGTGGATTTATAAATACAGTGGAAACCGTATATAATAGGCCCAGTAATAACAGGGATCTGGTAATAACTGGGGTTTTTAAAATCGTCGTTTTTTTCCTACTCTTTGTCTCTATTAAAAGTTATCGGTAATAACAGGGCCTCATCGGAGCCGAATCGGTTATAGCAGGGACAAAGGCTCGTTAACAATATGTAAAAATGTGTGTGAGAGAGAGAGAGAGAGAGAGAGAGAGAGAGAGAGAGAGAGAGAGAGAGAGACGCTGTGATGGAGCAAGCCCACGCAAGCCTCGCTACTGCATGCACACGCAGCAGGTGAAGCGAGAGAGGGCTGCGGTGTGCTGCAGAATCTTGCCGTAAGCCTAGCTAAACGCATGCGTGATGTGTCATGCACAGGCCTGCTACATGGCCAAAACCCCTGTTTGTGGGTACGTAAGGCAGGGCAAACTACCCATGAATAAATACAGCTGGATTAATTTACAAATGCTTACTTCCCTTTCTTTTCTGATTTAACAGGGATCTGATATAGCAGGACTTTTTCTCTTGTTCTACAATCCCTGTTATATCAGGTTACAACTATAGTACAATGGTTTATGGGGGGGTGTATTTAGACCAAGACCAATTTTGACATTCATTTTTCAGTATTTCCTAAAAATCTAAACTTCTTTCTTTTTGAAGTTGACAATGGCCCTTGTACACTCCAGTGTGTCAAACATTTGATTGAACGTTACGCTTTGCATTGTCCAGGTTATGTTGCCATTTCACAAACTAGCTTACTTCTGAAGTTAGGGCTGTCTATTTACTATTATAAAAATATATGAGGAAATTGAAAGCCAGTAAAAGGCTGTAAAAATTAAACTTCTTTCTGCTCTGATCTAGGACTGAGCTGACAGAAATGAGTGCTCAGAAATTTTTGTCTCTGGATAGCAGAGTTTATCACTACCCAGGAACTGTTGAAGTCAACACTTACTGTCATCACGTTCTGACACTTACATATGTGTCAAGTCACCCTAGACTTCAAGTAAATGTGGTCACAAAAGGCATCATTGTGTTATATGATAATACCATTTCTCTTTTCATTTAACTATGGATGATCTAAATAGAAGTTTGAAAATTACTACTGGAATTTTCACCTCGCACAGCTATTCTCTGCTATTTCGTGGCGTCGGTAGTTTAGTGGTTAGGCTACTGAACCCATAATTATGAGGTTGGGGTTCAGGGTTTGAGCCACAGACAGCCCTGATGTTGTGTCCTAAGGAAAGCACTTTACATGAATTTTCCTCATTTCACCCAGATGAGAATGGGTGCCGGGTCATAGACAGTGAAAAATCTTGTCAGTATGTTAGTGTTTTAGTGCCTGTAAAATGGTAGCTTGCACTGTATGCTTCCTAGGAAGTTGAGATTGTTTCAGAATGCTTTCAAGTCTGCTGGGGTAATGATATAGAATGTAAAGGGCACAGAGCTTGCTGTTGAGCAGAAATTTGCGCAGTGCAAATGCTATCCATTATCTTTTATTATTCACCCCAAATAGTTCAAGACATCACTGTGTATGATTGTGGTATGTATGAGTTAGCAAAATTTCCTTTTCATTAATGGGTATTGACTTGTAGTAAACTGATGGAATATGCTCACCGCAATTTTTTTTTGAGGGTGTGTATTTTACTCTATAAATTGTTTATTTCCTTTTATATGTGTAGCTATGAAGACAATGCACGCATAGGCATGGTAGTTTCACTTTTTTTCTGATTTTTAGTTTCCACCTAATTGTTTGTTTTTGTTCAGGGACAGCCCTAAGTTTGGCTGATGCAAGCTGTTTGTATTTGTAGATTGAGGTTATGTTATTTTATTGCTTGTTTTAATTTGTTGATTTTAATTATCATTTTGTGCACATACCTTTGCTTGATTGGAAAGTGAAACTGCTTGAACCTTGTCATCTTTGTTGTTGTTTTTTAAATTTCACTTGAAAAGCAAGAGAATTGGCATTTATGGTGTGGCGGTTAGGTGCTTTGCCATTGCCTCAAAAAGACCTGATTTTCATTCTCATGTTAGGAGATTTTTATTGAGTATCTCTGTCTTTCTGTTGGCACGTAGTGTCCCTCTCAGTGGGCTGGCCCGGATAGGCAGGATCGAAGCCAGTCTTTTTAATGATCTAAATTGTGTCAAAGGGAATGTAA